TCAGAATTTCAGTCATGGAACTTGGCCAGCAGAAAAAAATTGGTGCTGACAGTTTAAAGTAATACCGCAAATGGTTTGAATCCAGGAGTATCGGTCTATTTTGTGGTGTAACTTTTCAAGTAAGAGTAGGCTGAAAAATGCAGTTTTTAGCAACAATATAATCGACAACAATTCTTTTTAGGGTTACTCATACCTTAGCGATCATACCACAGGCACGACGCTGGTAACTTTGACGATTTTTATTTACTGGTTAGATATATTAATTCGTCTCGAACCTCATTTTTTCGCTCTACCTCTTGTTGCTCACATTTCTGAATAAGCCGGGACATGCAATTCTGTGTTCATGACCTTTCCCGCCGTTCCTAACAGTTGCAAACCGCACTGTTTCACATGGAGCTCTGATTGGTTTATTTAGGAATTTAAGTGCGTCCTGATTGGTTCTATCTGTTGTATTATACGGGCAGTAGGGCAGTGAGTAAGATACTTTTTAAAGGAGAGGTGTGACTTTTTAAAAACGAACGTCGCTGGAAAACCATGGGGGAGTACGGTTGGAAGCTCTGTGAAACACTGATAGTTTTTATTACTCCCATATTTACCATTTTAGGCGGTTTATAGTCAGAGTATAAGGTCTTCGTAGTAACTTTTCCATGGTAACAATCCTTGTCATGATCAAGAGTAATGTGAAGCTTAAGAAAATAAAGAAAGACGATGCTTAATGTTAATGAAATGCAAAAAAAGGTTTATTTATTGAATTTATTCATATATTATTACAAATAGTATTAAATGATAATTTATAATCATCATGGTAGGCACTTCGCGTCTAAAACGTGGTAATTTGGACAATTTAATATTTATTTGATGAGTACTTTCCGATATAAATAGAAATAGGTTTGTTTCTTGACTTACCTGGTGGTAAAGACATTAAAAATAACTTATTAGCAGCGAAGGATCAAAGGAATATATTTTTTCATGGCCAAATAATGCACCGTAAACGCTTCAGTCAATGTTGCAAGTGATTAACGATTAAAGTTACAATTAAGGAACAATTAGAGAAAACATAAATACCTGTTACTAACTGAGTTCAAGGTCCTTAGGGTAAGTTACAGATGAAGTTTTTTTCCGTCAGGTTTATGACCTAAGGGCGGCCTAAGGGCCCATAAAATAAAAGGGGAGGGGAGGGGAGGTAAGGTTGCATAACTTACAGTACAGACCGAAGAGGAAACTGTTACACAGCTCCGGTGTGTCTGGCAGGTTTCACGCGAAACGGCTTCAATTAACTGACACATTTCGAAAGCAAAATTAGCCAGTTTGAAATCGTGGTTTAATCAGTGAAGTACGCCTCGTGGAATTCACCATAACTCCTGTAATCACGGAAAGATTTTAAATCTACAAAAGCGAAATTATCTCTGCCATCTTCTTTACGACTTCTTGTTATTTAACGATTCAAACAATCGAAGCGTTTACAATAATCGGCCAAAGGGAGCCGACATTATTCTTTATTTATTTCAGTTATTTCTTTTGCTTACGTATTTGTGAAAATTATACAAGAAATAAAGTGTTTTTATTGAAGGCTGTCCATTCTTTTTTAGAACTTAACAGTCCGACGGACGACTTGCTCAAGCTTTCACTACAAACGCGTGGACTTTTGTCATTTAGGGGTGGGTGGGGTGGATTGGGGTGCTTTCCAACGAAGAAGGTCAAGGATACCCATATATACTTAGTTTGCACTTTCAACAAATGCATAAGATCTAAACGCAAGCACGCAACGAATTCGACATAGGAAAGCGCTATAGTTTTTTGTTTCTCGGTTTTTGACACATTGAATGCAGCAGTAAATGACAGGAGCCAAATTGAGTGAATTTCAATCCAGTTCACATCAGATGAAGCCCAAATCATCATATCAATTTCTCCTTTGGCAGCCATTTTTGCCTCTGACGTGAAATCCGCAGGACCGTTGTGGGCAGATGTTGAGCTGGTTAACATCGCAGAGAGGCTGGCTCTTTGCAAACCCCTTCCTCCAATCCCCACCTCCCATCTAAGGAAACCAGTAGCTTACATTTTGTGGCTCCTAACCCATGTCTTTACAGAATCACAAGGGGTCTAGGTAAAAAGACTGAGGTTATCTGGGGAGAGGTGTTCAACGCAAGCTGCCTAACCGCTCCAACAGTGTTCAAGGTGGCACTTTAGTCATGGGGGATTACTTCTTTATGCCCTCCTACCCAAGGTCATTCCTGAGAAATCCTTGATGAAATTTATCACTCTCACCAACTAAGTACTCGTCGCCTCTAGGTTCCAAGTTACAAGCTTCCTTTCCAAAGTTTTCAATTTTTTTTCCAGGTTTGGCAAACTACTTCATTACTTAAAATTTTAAAGACAGTTGTTTCACATGCAGGTCTACACACTTGTACATTGAAATGTTCCAAATCAAGTGTCACTAGGCTGTACACCTAGACATATCAAATGCTGTCCTGAAAGCAGAGTTATATTTGCATTCTACTTAAAGTCTACACTGTCAAGACCTTGCATTTGCAGTTTACTGAGTCATTTGAAACCCTAAATGAATTTGTTTTATCTTGATTCGTACAGGAAATTTTTAGTGCAATACAAGCTAACAAAAATTATATTATTCAAGTTGTTAATGATCATAAAATTTCATTCCCTGGAACAGCAAGAGTTATGGGAATTATTTTCCAAAATGTTGATAAATTATTAACAGCATACAATACCATAATGTATTTATTTTCTTTATCTGCAAACTTTTCAAGTGTTTTAAACACTATTGGATCTCATTGCTACAAGGATTCTGAATGACAAGAAAATAATTATAATAATAGTAAATAAGATATAATAATAACAAAAACAAAAAAAAACAACAAAAAAAAAAAATAATAATAATAATAAAATAGCAGTAATAACATAACACATTTAACCAAGGTAAACCCATCAGCTGAAGCTGATATAAATGGGTGCCCCGGACGACTATAAAATTAACAATTGAAGAAAAAAAAACTATTTAAACAGATGAACCATCAGAAAAATGTAAAAACTGTGTACAATGTCAGTGGATAAAAATTAAGAATTATACAACTAAGTAAATTAATATATATATTTATAAAAGCAAGAATTCTTGATTTACAACAACACCAAAAAGAGTTAATCAGGAAATCTTCTTACAAAGAGGAGGGGCTGTCTTATTTTACTTTTAACAAAAGCAGTCAGTACTCCCTGCATGAATGGTATATGATTGCCAGCCTCAGAAACCCTAATGGCAGGTTATTTAAATAAAGTTCAGCTTTTGTTTAACAAAACCATACTCTAAATGATCTTCAATTTAGTCAAACCTTTTTATCTGATCATTTGT